CGCTGTGATGACGTCAAAGGCGCGATTTTGTCGATCGCGCTTTTGCCGTCCGCGCTTTTGACGGGTCACGTAACATTTTGTATTTGACAGGGTTTTTCCCCTTTCCATGCAAATTTAGATAGATCTTTTTGCCCTTGCTTGCCTTGTACTTCAGTTGTCAAAACAGATATTATCTGAAACAAAAACATCATTTTAGGCAAAACAATCATTTTTGTCACAGAAATTTCCTCCCACTTTTGAGAATTTTAGTTTCTCCCATATGAATATGTTCTCCGTAATTTCATTCCATGTCAGCGTAATTCTTTTGAAATGACGTACAATCTGTATTTGTCCAATACCCAAGAAGGCATCCTGCTTCTCTTTTGGCTAGTCTGTGTGCCTGTGGTTGTGGAGGGCCAGGGGCTGCAGGGAGGACCTCGGAAGGCTGGGTGGGACATTGGGCGGGTCTCTCTTCTCCCTCTCAAGTTGCCTTCTCTTCCTCTGGATCCACAGGGCTTTCTGTGCCTCAGAGCGACAATGGGCTGATGGGCGTTTACAATGGGGAGGAATTTGTCTTTGAGGAGAGCGGCTGGTATGTCTGGACTCTCCTGAAGCTCTTGTGGCGCTATGGACTGAACCCCCTGCGCATCTACATGTGGGTGGAGGAAGTCCTGGAGAAGTTTATGAGGTGAGCGGCACAAAACAAAGGACTGCAGGGCGAGGGGTGGAGGTGTTGTGGCTTCTCTGGCACAGCCTCTGCCCCAAAATTTTTCCCTCCCCCAAATTCTTATCAGTGGGTTAGATGGGTGAGTGTGATCCTGTTACCAGGTTCAATTGATTTAATGCTCATTATTTTCAAATGAAAGGCACTTTGCTTTTCCCTGGGCCCCTCTATTTTTGGGAAGCAAGGCTTCAGTCTGCCATGGAAAGAAAAAGACCAGGAAATTGCTTGGCTAAAATTGCTGTGTTGTTTTACCATATCATAATTGTGAAGGGGGCCACAGGATGGCTTGGTTTAAATCAATTAATCAACCAAAGCTTCATGAATTGCTCTAATTCTGAAAAGTAAGTACAGTCAAGGCTGGTTCATACTTGGATGGGTGGCCGAGACTACAGGGTAGAGTGGCGAGACAAAGAACACCCCAAAGAGGAAGCTGGCCACCCCCTTCGTAGTTTCCAAGCTACGAAGCCCCCAAGAGCTGAATTCAGCTCGGGGGCTTCTTTGCCTTTTGAAATCTCAAACACAGCCTTTGGTTGCTCAGAGGAGATTCTAGTATGAGCACCAAACAATGAAGCCCCTGAATGTTCAATAAAAGAGGTGGAGACAAAACCAGATTTGCAGATAAGGGAGACCAACAGCAGGTAAAACTGGCAATGAATGGCCTACAAAAAAAAATCATTTTTTTCATTAATCTACACTCAGTACCGCATAATGACAAAATAAAAACAGAATTTTAGAAATGTCTGTAAATTTATTAAAAAGAAAAAACTGAAATATCACATTGGCATAAGCATTCAGAGCCCTTGCAACAATACATGAAATATATCTCTGGTGTCTCCAACTTCTCATAACTGTTGCTGATATGTTCCTACATCTTGGAGTTGACCTGTAATAAATAGATTGGAGGTGATTTAGATTTCTCTGTAGAAGGCCTCATAACTAACGGTGCATACTGTAGCAGAGCAAAAGGAACTGCTTGCAGAGCTCAGAGACAGGATTATTGCAAGGTACAGATCTGGGGAAGGTTACAATAAAACCTCTGCTGCACTGAAGGTTCCTAAAAGCACAGAGGCTTCCATACTTCTCAAATGGAAGAGGTTTGGCACAACCAGGACTCTCTTCGATACAACAGCCCCAGTATGGTGGATTTCTACTGTCTTCATCATCTAGGGGATGATAGGAGACCAGCTTGGGGATGTTACTTGATACTATCAAAGGATAATAAATGGCAGCCCTGGTTTTGTTTTCTTCAAAAACCTCAACTCAAAATAGTTCAGATATTCATTATTGAGAGCATATGTTGCCCCACTGCTTAATATATTTTGCACCATTGCAAGATGCTTAGCTAGTTCACACCTCCCCCCCTTCCACCCCCCCTGTCCAGAATCTATCGGTACCAGTCGCACGACTACGCCTTCAGCAGCCCTGAGAACCTGCTCCATGCCCTTGGAGGGGCGGACTTCCTTCACATGTTGAACCACACCATCGATGAGTCCCTGCAAAAGGCCAGATTTTCTCAGGCATTCATTAATGAGATGGTCACCCCTATCATGCGAGTCAACTATGGGCAGAGTGCCAGCATCAATGGCTTTGTAGGTAAGAGGCGCTTGTTCCTTCCTAAGTAGCAAATTTAATGTTGTACCACTGAACATCCACTTGTGCTTCTTGCACAACTTGCTCCACTTTTGAAAAACCTGGCCAAGAAAACTGCAGCGACCTGTCCAGATAGTCCTGCAAACTGCAGCAACCTGTCCAGAGAATCAGACATGATTGAACAGAAGGAAGAAAAAAACCCTTGCTTTAAAACTGAAATAAAGCTGACCTGAACAGAAGAAGAGAGCCTGACTCAGCCTACCTAGCCAGCATTCTCTCTCACGCAGGGGGTTCAAGACCCTCAGGCATGCATTTTGGGGAACTTCAGTTTCTGGATGTCCCTGTGCAAAAAAATGAATGGGGGAAACAAATCCCTCCCTCCCCGAAACAGGACTTTGCATACATCTTTGAAAGGTAGCAAACAAGAGAGCCAGTTGAAAATGGAACATCACTCTTACTTTCCTTCTTGCATTATAGGATGGGTGGTTTTGCACATTACCCAGTAAGCCATAGTGGCTTGTTCATTAGTAAGTCATCAACACAAGTGTCCAGTGGCTGGGTTCACATATTTTCTAAAGCCATAATGCGGTATTTAAATTTTTGGCTTAGTTTTATTTCTGACCCTGTCACTGAATCACTTTAGTCTCAGCTACTGTCTTGTTTAGGTGTCTTTGACCATTTTTCCTGGGCTTCGTTTCTTTGCAGGAGCTGTATCTTTGGCTGGAGCAAGTGGAGGACTTTGGTCGGTAGAAGGAGGCAATAAATTGGTGTGTACAGGCCTCCTGTATGCTTCCAAAGCCCAGCTGATTTCTGGTCCTGTTATCTCCATAGAAACAAAAACAAGGCTGAAGGGCCATGCAGGTGTGATTGTCTCACGTTTAGTTATTTATTTCACATTTGCAAAATGAGATGCATTTATCAAGCATGGAAGTTGTGCATGATTGAAAAAAGAAATGGGGAAATCTCTTGCTCTCCACAACTTTGGGTCCGCCACTTCCTCAATCCCTCCTCTTTGGCCACAAGAGCTGGAGTTGATGGGCCTCTGCAGTCTTAAGCGAGTGCCATGTCATTGCTGGGAAAAGAGGCAGCACTGGAAGTTAGGGCTTTGCTGCAGGCGAGCTCCCCATTTTTAAAAATGAAATCATTTTAAAACCCACTTAAGTTGGGTGGGACATCAGCTGAGACCCCATGAACAGAGTGATCATGGAAAGCTCCATCCCAGAGCAAAACCTCAGAAGCGGCAGCCCCAGAGTGGAAGAGGAGTGGGGAAGAGGGAGCTGTGTGATGATTGAGACAGAGCAGCCTGGGGTTGCTGTCCCCCAAACACAACCTGGAGGGGCTTCCACTCCTTCCTTTCAAACCACCTGGATTGTTGGGAAGAATTATCACCAAAGATCAAATAGTTGAACAGCACTCTTTTGCTGTCACTTTTGAGATGATGAAATTTCACAGACAGGTTAATTGATTGGGTCACGGCTTCAGAGTGAAATGAGCCCTGGGACCCATTATACTGACGGCGGTCATGACATGGAGAAAGTTATCTCTGAGTGTGGCTGGAGGGGGAAACAGAGTAGCTTGAGAATCGTGCAGCCTTGGGCACCCTGCTGCTCTCTGAAAAAAGTCAACTTTCCAGCCAGCACAAAAATGCCTCCTGTCCTTTCACATTGGGAAAACACCCCCCGCCCCTCTATCTCAGGCAGTAAAACTTGCAGTAACGTCAAAACTGCTTTATTTTTTTCTGGTTGTTTCAAAGGTGGTCTGACAAAAAAATATGAGGTTACCTACAACGCTACATCTGGAGTAACATCTGGTGCCTACGACATCCTCCTCATCGCTACTCCCTTGCAGCGCCAAATCGCCAACATAACTTTCCGCAACTTTGACCCACCGATCCCCAAGTTCTCTACTCCCTACCACCAGACGGTGGCCACATTTGTCCATGGGCACATCAATGCTTCCTTTTTTGGCTATCGGGATCCTTCTCAGTTCAACCTGCAGACCATTTTCACGATGGAAGATCCTCACCTGTTTGTCAGCAGCCTTGGGGTGGTTTCCCCGGTGAAGGACACCCACCTGGGCTCTCCTGTCTGGAAAGTGTTCTCCCGTCAGCTGCTGACGGATGAGCAACTGAAGCTGCTTTTCTCCTCCTATGACTTGGTGGAAGTACGGAAATGGCTGGCCTACCCACACTACAGCCCCCCACAGAAGTGCCCACCTTTCATTCTCCACGATCACATGTATTACGTCAATGCCATAGAATGGGCAGCCAGCGCCATGGAGATGAGCGCAATCTCTGCCAAAAACGCGGCCCTCTTGGCTCACCACCACTGGTACAAGAAGATGGATAGGATTGATCAAGAGGACTTGCATGAGAGACTCAAGACAGAGCTTTGATGTGGCGCGACAAGGGTTGGGGGAGGCATCGAAGGGTGTGGGAAACTTGCAATGTATCTTAGGTGTTGGGTATCAGTGCGCAATATGTCTGAACTTTGAAATGCTCCATTTGCAGCCCAAAATGTTATGCTTCACATGTCTTCGCTTGGCAGTACCTAGGATACTTTTAAGCTCAGAACATTCCTACAAGGGCCAAAATATATTTAGTGAGGTAAGAAAGGGTTTGAAAATGATGTTTCAAGCTTCTGTTTGCAACCATCGCTGTTTATCCTACTTTGGCACTCCAAGAAAACAGGCTTAAAGGGAATTCTTGGCAACAGCCTTTTAAAAACTACTGTACCTTCTAGATTTCTTTTGCAAACCACTTGTAAGTAATTTGGGGGGCATATGAAAAACGTTGAATAAAGCCTTCGGGCTCACAACTTAGGTATTTTACATAGCAATTTTTCTTAAAACCACTGGATAAAATTGTCAAGAGACTTCATGTACTTAGTTTCATAATGACTCCCAACAATTCATTACTTTTGATTGAAAGATATTTTTACAATTCTGAAATCCATTAGTTTGGGGAATGACACAAGAAAATGAATATGCTCAATTTGAATCTGAATTGGGCTGTTCAAGTAACTGAAATGATGCCTTTTAAAATTTGTATTTTATAAGAATTCAGCTGCTCCAGCACACTGAAATTATGAAATATCTGTCTGAATAAGCCCCTTCTTTTTTTGAAGGGGAAGGAAATTGGATGTTCTGGATGGCTTTTGACAAACTCCACACAGAAGTAGCACACCAACCGAGTGTTGAGTCATTTGGCTGTGATGGGAATTGATACTGGCTTGTTGCCTAAACCCCTTCCTGTGGGCCCAAGACCGGACTGGAACTCAACAGTCCCCTAGTTTCTGGCCTGGTGCCTTCACCACTAGATCAAACTTCATATTAAAAAATATAGCTTGAGAGCAGAGAAAATAAAGTATTTATAAAATGGAGAGAAGAATTAATCAAAATTATCTTTGTGCCTTTTGATGCTTATTCAGGCAGTCAGGAAAACTGTACTGGCAAGCAGCTTTTCTTTTACCTAAAAGCAGTAGGAAAAAACATACCTCTACTGCCAGGTGTGTGGTTCTGTGAACTACTCATGCCATCCACTCATGACTGCATTAGGCAGAGAACTGGGTAGCAGCATTTTACAGGTAACAGACTGGGTATACTTTCTAACTATTAAAAGTGAAGGAAACACATTCTTGCGGTGGTGGTGTGTCTTTTTTCCAAATGCGTGGCTAAGGATCTGCAATTGACAATTTTAGAAAGGTGTCATACCGATACAACCAAAGAGGATTACATTATGGGAGGTTCAAGTTGAATTACGGCTACCATTTGGAGGACCAAATTCTCAGTTGTTGAGCAAAGTGGTCATTAAGCAAGACATCCACATGATCACTTTAATGACTGCAATCCTGGCTCTAATTAGCAGCAATCATTAAGTGATTATACAGGTCAGGTGACCTCAAACTTTTTAAACAAGGGGCCAATTCACGGTTCCTCAGACTGATGGGAAGGGCTGGAAGTGTGTGGCTAGGTGGTCGTGACTGGGTAGGCGTGGCCAATTTAGCAGTCTAAATATACACACTTTGTAATGCTGGGGGGTGGGGAGCAGGTTGGTGAAGGGATATGCCTGCCTTGTGGTTGTATGAGGGACTTGTGTGTGTGTGTGTGTGTCTCCCCCCACTCCCTTTCTATCACATGACTGCAGGGTGCTTGGCAACGGTTGTGTGACCAGGTTGCCAACACCCAGATCACAATCATAGGACCAAAGCAAAACATTTTATGACAGCCCCTTTACAAGCAGTTGTACTTTCAAAATGATTAACAACTGGTCCTAAGTCAAGGACTTCTCAAAAGTCATAAAACAGGATCTTGAATGTTTAGGACGCTGGCTTATTGCCAGCATAGGTTCATTTCTTATTCAACTTGTTTGGAATTGTTTTGTTCACTTGTTTATTAGGCCATTAGTGTTATGTGGAACACTAATATTATCCTATCTCCATTCATGTACATGGATTTAAAGTCATTTTTTCAAATTTCATATATTCCCAAATTAATTTTTTGAAGTTGTGAAGCAAGTTATACCAACTTTTAAGAATTTATTTTTTAAAAAAATGTAAACATGGAATGATCCTGTAGAACCAATAATAATAAAATTTCCGCACACTGTAGTAACAGCAAGTACTTCATTTTTTATACTCGTTCCAGGGCTTCTAGCATAATGATGCTGTTTCCTCGTATTACCTAGAAATCAGAACAAATAATTATCATTAGCATACCTAAGAATGAATTTCAAGAAAAAAAATCAAACTAGTTTCAAGATGGCTAAAGACAGGTGATATGGAGAACTGTTTTACAACTGCAATCCAGAAAGATCCATGACAGATTGTTTAGTCTTTCATAAGAGTATTTTTACTCCACTGGGATAGCATTTGTGTCAGCCTCTGCTTTGCTGCTGCTTCGGCTGCCATGAAACGGAAAGGGAGGGCATGGTATTTGGGAGGGGTTTACTAATTGTGCTGGAGGAAGATTCTGGAGCTCTGCTGCCTGTCGGACTACGCATGCGTCGGAGGTTCCTGCCAAGACTAACGGCACCGACATTCCATCTTCGTG